TGCTCCTATGCTGATAGTGTACATGCTTTTTTTTCTTTTTTCTTTTTTTTTTTCTTCTTATTTGTTTTATTATGCTTATACTCAATTTTATTGCTGATTAGTATAAGTTTTGCATTAAGAGCCAATTGAACTCGACTGTTATTTGTTTAGTTGAGTTTCTAGTATAAGTGGAATAAAATAAATAAAATAAAATAAAAAGGGCATCTCGGGTAGCCCTGAGCATACCCCGAATAAGAAGGCTCGTTACAATCTTTTAATGCAACCTAGCGCGGACCTAGCAATGAATGCGAAAAAGGGTTTCTTGCATTTTATAGTATTTAATTTCGTAAAATTTAACGAGCACCACGTAACCAAAAACTCAATTTGAAGCTGATACAATTGCGATTCCAAAGAGAAGGAAAAAAAAGTTTAGCATCGACAACTTATATTAAGATATGGCTGGATTGAATCAACGAAGAGAAATCATTAATGTGTAGAATATACAAAAGTGGTCCGAAGTGGCTGCCTTGAGGGATCCCAGATGTCCCGGGAAATTCATTCGAGGTGATGAAGTTAACAAGAACTTTAAGTTGTTTGTTATGTAGATAGGAGCTTGACCATTTCATTAAGTACGAAGGGGAGCCAGAGACATAGAGTTTGAAGGTAAAGAAATTATGATTAACTAAGCCAAACGCTTTACTAAAATTAGTATATACATGTGCGAGAGCCACTAGAAAAACCCTTCATAACATTGAAAGTGGGCTCTAATAGAAAGTAGAAAGAGATTCGTCACAGTTAATATTAACAATTCCTTCAAACAATGTAGATAAGGTATTTAGCTTGCCAATGCCTCTATTGTTCTCAACGTGATGAAGTTTGTCAACTCTGTTGCGCGGTATAATCGTCTATATTCTGTTTCGGCAATTAATAATTTAATTTCTTGTGGCTATTTTGCCTTATAGTGTGTGAATTTATAGTACACTTTCGGAAGAAAGTGAGTGAATTCAAAGTCAAAGAAGTATTTTTTCTTTACGCTTTGATTCATTGGATTTTTGCAAACAAATTTTTGAGCTTGAATCTCTCTTTTTTGTTTTTTTTTCTCTGTTTATTTTTTCGGTGTTTGTAGTTTGTTTTGCTTTTGATCTCTTGTTACAGTGTCAACGTAACAGAGAAGTTTTGTTCAAATTGGCTGATAAATGTTTGTGTTGAGGATTTTTTTTTGCAATTTTTCTGTCTGTTCTTCATAATCCATCTCTGTCTTTTAGACTGGACATGGAGTATTTATATACACCTTGTCGGGCGAAAACGGGCCCGGAATCTGAAAGATTCGTCTCGTGTTGGCTTTGCGATTGCTTTGGCCATGCAAAGTGTGCCGGTATTATCGGCCGGGCTGCTAATGCAGTCGTTAACCCCTCGAAGGGATTGCGTTGGTCATGTCCCAATTGTAGGAAGCGGTACATAGACTTCTACAAATTTTTCACGGAGACGAGAAATAGTTCCTCTGAATTGAATAAGAATCTCGGCTCCTTTTGGGAAAAGTTTCAGATCATTAAGACTAGGTTTGACGAGTGTCGTTTTATTGAGTACTCCCCTTCTTCCTAAGCTAGTAAAATCACAACTCGCAGCGTAGCGTTTGGTATATCACTTCTAATTCCTCCTAAGTCCGATTCTTTGGTGCAAATTAGCGCTTCCATAATGTCCTCAAAAAACGTCAACGTTTCTGATATGGCTGAGTCGGTCTGTAACAAAAAGGTTATAAATAAGCCGTTAAGTCCTTCTGGTTTAAGCTATGCTGAAGTGGCAAGAGTATCGCCTCATAGTGGCGTCACTCACTTAATTCAGGCGTCATCGCCTAAAACTAATCAAGAGCAATATAAATCATTCTCCCCATTAAGGAATTTATCCCTCGATATCGTCCCCGTAATACCAAAGCAATAGTCTTGTCGCCTGCAAAAAACTAAATGTTTCTTCAGGCTCATTATCTCTCATTTATCTAAATGTTAGGGGCCTTGATTCAAAACTTCGTTCTACTTTTCTTAATTCAGTGAGCACGGAGTTTTTCTGTTTGGCCTTCAATGAAACTAGGCTAAAACCCGATCTTCATTCGTCGGAACTTTATCACAATTCTTTCCAAGTCATCAAGGATCCTACTGGCCACAGTGGTTTGTTTAACAACATATCACTGTTTTCGGTGGGAACTAGTATTTTAAAAGAGGAGATTGTTCTAGATTGAGAAGGAGCCATTTTGAAAATTCTAACGCGCTTTAAGTTGACTGATGGGACTTTCGCCGCCAGATAACTTTTTATGTTAGCCACCGATGTTTCAGGTGCCAGTCTTGACACAAATATTTCTTTTCTGGGAGGAACTGCCGTCAAGCAAATATCATTAGTCGGAACAGGGGGGTTCACGGTTGGCGATTTTAGAGTTGGGGAGAATACAGATGGCGTTATCGCCCTTGCACCAGCAGCTTGTGCGACTTGCTCAGTCTGGGGACCAGCGTTCACATTCAGCGTAGCTTAAAACGGAGGACTTGCCGGCTTGTTTGTAACTATTTTGTTACCAACCGACTCAACAATATCGGAAACATTAACTTTCATTTTAGAGTTAGAGGGAGCGGTAACTTGTACCAACGAATCAGATTTAGAGGAACTCAGATGTGATGTCCCACACGCTACGCTACGAGCAGTTATTTTTCTGGCTTGGGTAGAAGATGAGTGCTCAATAAAACGGCACTTATCAAACTTAGACTTAATTAGCTCAAACTTCTCCCACAAGGAGCCGAGATTTCTACTCAATTCCGAGAAACCATTTCGCGTCCCCGTGAAAAGTTTGTAAAAATCAATGTCCCGCTGCCTATAGTCAGGACATGACCATCTTAAGCCTTTGGAAAGGTCAGCGACTGGCACACTTTGCATGACCAAAGCGCTCGCAGAGCCAACAAGAAACGAATCTGTCCGATTCCGGACTGTTTTTGCGCAGCATGGTGTATATAAGCACTCCATGTCAAGTTAACGAATAAAAAGAAGTAAATTATTAGGGCAAAAAAGAAAAAAAAATTCAAAAGAATCCATTACCCTAAGTTTATCTACAAATTTAAGAAATTTAATAAAACTTCTCCGTTACGTTGTCACTGTAACAGGAGAGCAAAAGCACAAGAGAAAGCAAAACCTAACTGGAAGCACGAAAAAAAAGAAAGAATACAAATCAGAAAAATTTTCTATTAAATTTTCTCTTAAATTATACGTAAAATCTACACTACTGAAGCAACGGTAAACAAGCCAAGAGAAAAACTATTCACACCAAACGAAGAATATAAAATAAAAAAAAATCAAAAGAAAAAACTAGGAAAGACTCGAAAGAGGTTTACTATTGCGATTATAAGTGCTAATCGCACGAACCAAAATGAAAATCACAAAAATTTTAATGTTTTTAATGTAATTCTTCAACTTTACACGTTCAAACCTTTTATACTTTTACATAAACCCATTTTTAAACGCGTATAAAAAAACGAAAACAAAAAAATTTTAGCAATAAAACTAACAAAAACGTACGATCTCGCACGCGTCAGTTGCCAGACTGGGAGTTGGGGAGAAAATAGAGGAATTGACTATAACTGCTTGTGCGGATTGTACGAGTTGTTCAGCATGGTGACCAGCGGATACACCTGAACAGCTAGGTGAAGAGGAGGATTTGTTGTTTTCGTTAATATTTTTAGAGATGACTGACTAGACTGAATGGTAGCACTAGGAGGGGATGCCCTTGCCACCTCAGCCTAGCTGATACGAGGAGGGGCTCCCGGCTTATTTGTAATCTTTGTGTTACCAGTTAGGTTTACGATGAAGGAAATCCTAATGTTATCAGTAGACAAAGTGGAACACTCGATATCTTAAACGGATTCATCAACGGCAGATCAAAAAGCTTTATAGCTGACGATAAGAACGACCAGGAGCGGTGGCGATCAATGTGGATGCATTTATGAGACTTAGACGGGGACAGAGATGAAGTACCGCACGCTACACCACAAGTTGGTTTTTTTTGGAGAACGAGTTGAGTGTCCTAGATAGCAACCCTTCAAACATTGTCGTAAGTTTTTAAACTTTCCACACAATTTCACGAGATTTTTACTTAATTCAGAAAACTAATTCCTTGTCTCCATGAAAAGCTTATGAAAGTCAATATCCCGCTTTCTGCAGAAGGACGTAGGACTGTGTCTTCGCATGACAATAACGCTCGCAAAGCCAATAAGCAATGAATCGCTGAAAATCAGGACCTGTTTTATGTCGCCATGATGTAAATAGTCACAAAGCAACAGACCAAAAAAGAGTTTGTGAAGAAAGAAAAAACAAAGGGTTTATTACTTGTTCAAATTTGATCTCTTATATTAGCACCCAAACTTCACACTATTACAAAGACAGTAAACAAAGAGAAAAGCTGTAAGGGGTGCAAACTAAGGCAAGTATTTGGAAGCAACAACACGAAAAGCAAGACGGACATGACGAGAGAATCAAGTGCTGATCGCAAAAACCAAAAAGAGATCAACAGACAGAACAATACAATAAATATAAATTACAAGTAAAGTTCAATATATGTCAATAAATGTAAACGCTTTAATAATTTTTTATTCTTTAAAACCGTATAAAGCAATAAAATAAAAAAGGAATTACAAAATTTCTGCACACAAAATAAAAAAATACGACCACAGCGCGTCAAACTGTATGGAAACGATATGTCTGCTCTTTTTTTAGATGTTTCTAGTTATCTTTGAATCAACTTCCTTAGTGATATTCTCAGTTAGGGCCCCTTATTTAGAGACACATACAGTCGTTTTCTTCCTATTGTCTTGACATGTTGATTTTCTTTGGCATAAAAAAGTCTGAATTTCATTTCATTTATTATTTCGTTACACAATGTTTCCTGATGCAGTTTTGACGATTTCGATTTCATTATATAATTGTTAACTTTTTATATATGAGTGTAATTTTTATCAACATAAAATTTGTCTGATCTTTTCATTTTAAATTCAAAAAGTTACATTTTTTTTTATAATCCTCTGCTTTTTTTCCTAAATTTTTAAATATCATAAAACTTCATTGCTTTCTGCGTTCGCACAACGTGAGAACTCCCACGAAAAGTTATGCAAAACTGTTTCAGTACCTTTTTTTTGTTGTTTTGATTTTCAATCTTAAAGTAAAAAAACCTAATTATTATTCCTTATAATATTGCGTGGAAGCAGCTGTTTTTTTCTATTTTGCGCCTTGCCGTCGGAGTTTTCGATCTCATCACTCTTTATAGCTGCCTGGAAAGTCGCGACGTGTGTATTATTCAGGAATTGTGTAATAATAGACCCCCATGGCGAGCTATACATCAGCAAAGGACCAGTCTGACCCCAGAAGAGTGAGCTGGGCGCCTCCGTTTCCGACAAATTTTTAAGCAGTTGTAGATCATTGTTGCTTTTCTTTTTCCTCTTATATTTAGTTAGTAGCGCTTCCGCTAAATGGGGGTAGTCATATAATAGGCGTATGAAGTGAATGCTTCCGCCTGCCCGCTTTCTTCTGTACACACCGCTGGCGAATTTTCCTCCCAGTATTCGTTTGTCAACGGGGGATCCGCTACAGACGACAGCCTTCACCTATAATGCCACATCTTCAGCGGCTTGCAGATTCACGTCAAATAGCTCCTCTAATCCACCCGCATAAGATGTGCGGGGGTAGGCGTTCAGCACGATGTTGAACAAGGTCAACAGACCCCGCGCTGCGAACACGATTTCCCAATTACTTTCGCGAATATATCGTCTTCATGTTTGTGCAATCGTCGTCAAAATTAACGTGCACTATTCTATCATTTATAGTGGGGACATCGCAAAGTACTTCTTCTCCGCAATCTCCTTCAGTGTTTGGCAGTTTTTGTCGAAAGAGAGATTCAGCTCGGAGCCGCCGATTCTTTCTTATTTGCGCCGCCTGCGCTGATGTCGACGCGCCATCAAAAGCCTCCTCGATCATCTGCATGAACTCCTCGATACTCGGGGCAAATGTCGACATTCCTTGGCAATCCTCGTCGAACACCTGCATGCACTCCTCTAAGGATTTTTCGAAATCTGGCATGTTGCTCGTATTCGTTTTAATCGTAGCAAGATCTTTTGCCAATTCATCGATAGACGCTCCACGTGCATTCACCATGACCTCTTCTTCGAAGAATTCCTTCTCCTCAATTAGTTTCGAGATCGCCTCCGCGGCTCGGATAAGTCCCAGTTCTTGCGCATACCATAAGTATGCGCACTAATGCGTCTTCCGAGATAGCCCTTTTTCGTGCTGTTTCAGACCAAATAGTAATCACGAAGTCTATTTTCTTAGATTTTAATATAACTTCGTTGAAACTATTTTAATTAGAAAAGCAAAATGACGACGAAATGTTTGAAGATGATTACGAACTACATTTGTGTTTCGCATGCAGTATACCACGATATTTCCAACAATTGAGTCTTCGTCAGGCTGTAAAAAGGGAAGCACGTTATAAGTATTCATACTTTTCATTTCACTGTTTTTGGAAAAAAACCTTCTGCCTTTGGCTGCCGCGCTTATTAAACACTTCAACGTTTCGGTGGCAGGCGTATTTAATGTATACGTTTTGATGCGGTTTTCATTACAACTCGTAAAAGGGCTCTTCTTTTCCTTCTATTTACATTATGGTAATTCTTGACGGTATTTCATTTTATTGTAAATAAACAATGTCAAGAACTATAATTTGTTTTAATGCCATATAATCAATTATAGAAATGAACAAAGTTAAAAGGAACTCGGGCATTTTCAATTAAGAATCTATGTTGCCATATTCGTAAAACTTTAGCTCTAACATGCTCTGATATATCGCAAATGTACCTCAATAAATTTTTGTAATGGGCGTTGCATTAAGTTATATAATTGTATCAGAAATTTCCTGCGTTTAAAGTCCAAATCAGATATTCGCTGCTATGGTTTAGTGGCGGCACATAAAAAATCAATGAGGGTAATGAAAAATTGGTAAAAAATCAATGAGGGGCACGAGAAATTGATAAAAAATCAATGAAAAATTTGTATAATGTATCAAATGAATGGAGCTTCAATCTGATTTATGATCAAGTAAATATATTTTACCGGTCTTTTTCGTTACGATATAAATGTAAAAATATTGAAAAAAATATTTAAAAATACATATAAATGCATATATGGTTAATTCTATGAGTATTCTTATTTGTGTACTTTGTTATTAAAATCGAATAAAAAAAAAATTATAAGTAGAAAATGGCCTTGTTTAAGTATATAAACACAAACACAAATTCGAAGTTCGCTTATTTACTTCTCCTTTAAATTGACGAAATTCGAAGTTCTCTCATTTACTTCTCCTTTAATTTGACCAAATTCAAAGTTCGCTCATTTACTTCTCAGTTAAATTGCCGAAATCCGAAGTTCGCTCATTTCCTTCTCCTTTAAATTGACGAAATTCGAAGTTCGCTCATTTACTTCTCCTTTAATTCGACCAAATTCGAAGTTCGCTCATTAAGTCTATAGGCATGTTGATCAGTAAATTGCAACTTGTTCATCGAAAGCACTATACATATATATATATTGTTGCTAGGCATATTTATGTAATCGTAAATGGATTGTTATATACATGTGATCTCATCCGACACAAACGGATCACCTGAATTCTCGAACCCTTAAAAAACATGCAAGGTTCGCTGGCACATCCGATATATACCGAGTGCTACGAGTATTGTCCTTTGAGGCAATTAATGGACCTAAAGTTTTCAGCGAAGTGATTTTATCTAGAGAACTGGTACTTTCCTCGCTTTGGTTGTCATTATCGTCACTTCCTCTCTCCATTTTTATGGACAAAGCTGCTTTATGGTATTGCGCAACCAAATGGATGTGTTTATAAATTAAGCGTGAAACGAGACGCAACCAAATGGTTGTGTTTATAAATTGAATAAATCGATTATAATCTGTACTCAGAAATTTCTGCCAAAAGCAACCTTAATAATTACATATTTGAAATTGGGAAAATAGGAACAATCTTTCGCTTAACAGATACCTGAAGAGCAGCTGATGTGTTGTAGATTCATCTTACTGGTTTATATTTGCTATCTATGTGCCAATAGCTCGAAAAGATTAGATGTTCAAAGATACTATTATTTTCAGTTTCACGGCTTTTCAGTACACGGCGTGTTCAGAAGATTATTAGTGTAATTAAAAATCTTCTTTTGAATTTAATTCGCGATTCAATCTTCTCTCAACCAACATTTCTTCTGAGGTATTAACAACCTCTTCTATAATCAAAAAATCCACATCCTTCGTTTGACATTTGTTTTTTCATTTTTACTTTATTCTCTAATATCGAATCGCAATTCCACGATGCCGCTTGATCTATATATTCAAAAATAATGCAATGTGCTTTTATGTTTTGTTAAAATGTAACTCACCGCCTAAATTTTCTTGTTTTAAAGGACTATTTTCAGCCAACACTATTCAGGAGACGTACAAGGGAAGATAAATGCTTATTTTTTATACATTTATATATACAAGATTATATATTATATTTCAAGCACTTGTACGAATATATGGTAAGAATTAACAGAAAATTTTTCAAAATAGGGCAAAATCGAATGCCACGCCCATAAAAATTGTATAAAACTTGTCATGAAACTCTTTCTCTTTCCTCGCCGCTGAGGATTTAAATTTTTTCTTTAGACAAAGAAAGAGAAAAAAAAAAAAATAGAAAAAAACAAACTAAAAGAACGAAAAGGTCCGGTCGGTTTCCTGCTGTGCGTCTGTCACCAGTGAGTCCGTCGGTCATCGTCTAGCGTCGGCCCTACATGGCCACCATATGCACGCCCCTACACCTCAGCCACAGCGGTGGCAGCGCACGCTTAGCCACTCATGGGGAACAACAAAATTAGATAGCTTAAAAATAACTTACAGTACAAGTTGGTGGTGGTGGTGATGGTGATCGTTCACTTGATGAATATTATCACTTTCACTGTCGGCTGCAGCTATCACAATGCTACCAATAAATTGTTGCTGTTGTTGTTGCTTCTGCCGTTCTACTGGTGAATCTTTAACAACTGCAGGCGAATGCTTCGCAGGATAACCAAAGGCTGAGAATGGTTGATGTGACACCCTATCGGTAATTGTTGGCTGTTGCCGTAAATGCTGTTGATAATTAACACGTCGTTGTTGCTGTTGCTGTTCACCTTCTTTTAATTTTATTTATTTCTTTTGCACTATTTCCGTTACTCCTTAATTCTGGGACGTATTATGAAGCAGACAAAAAGAAAAAAACACTCGTTAAATTGTTACCACAGTGCCGAATAGAGAAAACATTTAAAGCGGTTGGTTTGGTTACGAGCGAGAAAAAAAGGACATCAAAACATATTTCCTTATCTTTCCGTGGACGTCACTGCCTTTCCATCCACTCAGTTGTACCGGTAACCACGTAAACCTTTTTGCTTCACAGGTACAGAATACAATCAAACCCGTCAATCTTTTTCAAACTGCGTGTTGTTGCGCTTCCTAGGCGTGCAATTCGACTCCGGTAAACCCCTATCGAGTTTAGAAAAATGAACTTGCAAAAATGTTCGGTCAATCAATCACCAGAAACCGTTTTGAAATTTTATTAACAGATATACACAGGAATATATATACATGTAGGTATACTGTACAGTTTAGTTTCTTAATACATTTTTGTTCGGTATGTTGTACATATACACAATTCATTTTCTTATTAGCCTTTTGCTTAACATCTTTTCGTTTATTCAACTATTCCTTTTGCAATATGAACTTCCTACACTTATTAATATGATTTCTTTCGATCATTATGAATATTAAAATGTTCTCCATTGCTTTTATTTTTTTTTTTTTTGAATGGTTTATATATATAAAAGCAAAAAAAATAAACTTATGAAATTGCTCTACTTTATAATTTCGTTTTT